AACAAAGCACTACTTCTAGTGTTCTATGGTATTTAAGGGAGCTGATTATTCAATTCGCTTTGCTATTTTATGGCAGGCTGCTTCTCCCCAAGCTTTTTCTCAAAGTTATAATTGTAAATTACACTCCGCGGCAGATCTGTTTCTGAACACAAGGAAGGCCACGTCTGCAAGACCATGTTAGAAAAAGACTAGGATTAGAGCACTCTACAGCACACCTCCAACTCAGCTGCAGAAACTGAGGGTTTTACCCACAAGTAATTTTCTGATTTTTGGGTCGAGTCAGGCTTAACTGGACTAGTTATTTCTGGAGAATAGACGTCACTTGTGAAAATGGACAAGTAAGGCGCAGATTTGCTGATGGGAGAGGAGGCTGAGGCTGAGTCAATCGGAAGCAACTGCCTCTGCTGCCATGGTGTGGAGGCTGTAAGGTGTCTTTGTAAGCAGGGGACTCAATATTCATCTTGGTTTTGCCAGTTGAGCACCTGAACTTCCCCTTCCAGTGCTGGGGGATCTGCTGTTGTATGAATCATGGCCAAAGACCCATCTAACCTCCTGCTGTGGAGGCCAGAAGGTCACATGCCTGAGCCCTGGCAGCCTAACCTCTGGCCTGGGATGAAGACCAACCCTTAACCAAAACCATGCTCCTGACTTGACTCTGGAGTAGGTGGCACAAAGAAGCAGAGACCTACATGTGAGAGTTAGAGAGGGAAAAGGAAGAAAAAGTGGGGGGGGGGCAGGTCTCATGGAAATCAAGGGAAGAGCAATGAAATAGAGGAAAGGGACTCTGGGGGAGGGAGGAAGGGGGAACACTGGGAATGATATTGGCCAAACTATATTGTGATATCGTGTGCATGTGTGAATATGTAAGAACAAATCCCACCATTCTGTACAACTGCAATGCACTAATAAAAACGTGGGGAAGAGACCAGGGTTGTGGCTCAGTGGTAGAAGGCTTGCCTAGCGTGTGGGAGGCACTGGGTTTGATCCCTGGCACCACATAAAAATAAACAAGTAAAACAAAGGTATTGTGTCCATCTATGACTATGATAATATATTAAAAAAATATATACATATATTTTAATATGGGGAAAAAAGAGAAGCAGAGACAGTTGAACATGTTCCTTCTGGTGACATGGTGACAGCATGATGGTAGCACCGTGGTGACGAGTGAATTGCACCTGTTTGATCACAGTGAGGAAAGCTAGGCTGCCTTAAAGGAGCTTCTGAGCCATCTAGAATGCATGGAGTGCCCACGCCAAGGTGGGACAGCATGAAGCTGAGAGCCTTGCTGCCCTCTGAATAAGCCACCATGCAGACATGCCCGTGTCAGCTATTTTAGAAGAGATTTGCCAACATAAATGTGTGCTTTTCAGTAGCCGTGGGACCTAATCCCAGATCTGCCTCGGCCACATCCTGTCACCTCCCCCTCTTTTCTGTTCCCATGTACTGTTCACATTCCCATCTCAGGACCTTGGCCCTCACCGCTCCTTTTTCTGGTGGCCTCTTCCTCCAGTTATTCCCATGTGGCCTGTTTCATTTCTTTCTGGTCGGCTCAGAAGCTTCCTGCTCAGAAAACCATTTCCAGTTCCTTTGTCCAGATGATCCACGGGCCAGCAGCACGCACCTGCTCCCCGGGGCTCTTCCCGGCCCTCAGCCCTGCCTGGTGTTATATGCCTGTTTGCTGCCTGCCATCCTCTGGATGAATGTTCTAAGCTTTTCCATGAACTCTGCTTGCTTCCTAATCTGCAGTCGCCATTTCTTCTCAGTGCAAGAGGCATTTTTCATTCTGCAGCCTGAGAACAGCAGATATTACATTTTTTTCCATCAAGATGATCTTGATTCTTGTCAGCAAAGACAGATCCTTGTTTTCTCAAACTCACTGCCAAATGATAGAGGCTTCAGGCCTTTCCATAGCCGGTCCCCTGAATTAAGCGACTGGTGTTCACAACAGCATGGGCCAGCTGGTGGCTTCTGCTTCAGGACATGATAAAGGCTGCTTTCAGGGAAGGAAGGCATTATTTATCTTCCTGTCCTGTTTTCCTTCAGTACACTGCCCTGCATAAAACAGAGGCCTAGCATATCTTGGTAAAATGACTGCGTATTCTTGAACCTTGACCAGTCATAATTTTATTTCTTGGTGAGGGGCAAACATTAGAAGGGTCTTGAACTATTAATTACCCCAAAGCAAAATTTTCTTTTTCCCTTTTATCTAGGTGATGTCTTAAAACCATTTTAAGTGGTTTGAACTGCTAATGATTAATCTGTGCTTGTGAGTTGTGCTCATATTTTTTCCCCTATTTGACAAAAGATGGGGTATTTAACACTGAATCCTAAAAGCAATATCATTCTTATTTTTAATGACTCTATGTCAGCAACTGTCTTGTAAGTAAATCCAGATTGAAATTTTTCTGATTCATAAACATGCAAATTATGTAAGCTTCTAGTTTTTCCAATTCCCTTCTTCCACACATTTTTTAAGATAGGAAGAGGGCTTAGTAAGGAACTCTAATGGTGACACATTCGTTCACGACAAGAGTCTAATGTTTTTGTGTTATGAGCTCCAAATTAATAAACAAAACCCTTGCGTGGTAGGCTCATTAATGACTTTAAGCCAGTGAAACTGAACCAGATTCTAAGAGCCAAAACATAAACCCTGGTTTGTGGTCAAATTAGGTTCCTTTTCTTTCTTTTTTTTTCATTATGTTTTGATTATTGCATCGTAATTATTCATAATCGTGGAGTTTATTGTGACATAGTTGTGCAGGCACACCGCATAATTTGCTCCATCTCATTCCCAGAGCTTCCCCTTCTCGCCAGGTTCCCTGTTCAACACAAGTTGCTGTTTGGGGTATAGTTCTGGGCTGGATGCTATCTTGCTTTTTGCACTGAAATATTCTACTTCATTTTGACAACGTTCTCCAACCGATGGACCAATATAGCAGGAGATACTCCTGAAGGGAACACAGAGGATTTCAGTCATGGAAGACCTCCCTTCCACAAGGATCATTCAGTCCTTGAATCTCTTCTCTTAACACACTAGTCCAGTGTTCAGCCAGTAACAGAAACCCTCCAAGGTTGGAGCCTTCTGCTGCATTTGAAAAACCCCCCTTCATCTTCGAGGGTTTTATTTATTTATTTGAGACAGGGTTTCACATGCTGCCCAGGCTTGGTCTTGAGTTGGTGAGCACAGGGGATCTACCTGCCTCAGCCTCCCAAGTGTCTATGACTACAAGCATTTGCCACCATGCCTGGCTTCTTATTTTGATGGCTAGAAAGTTCTTTTCTAATGTTTTGAAACTCTCACCTTTACAACTTGGATCTAATGATCTGGTTTTGTTTGTTTGTTTGTTTTTCAGAAAACTACCCACCCAACAAGGCCTTAACAATCTGAGCCTGTGGTATTTGAATGTTTGTTTTAAATTTAGCCTGATAACAAAAAGTAACACATCATTGCAATAGCTGCTGTTCATTAAGGATCTATGACAGGTCTATGACTTCAAGGTCCCCTTGAGTGTACATTTTCTAGATGTCTGATGTAAATACATAGCCAGATGCAAAAAATAGTAGACATTTAGAATATAAAAACTACAGCTAATATTTCTTGAGTATTTGGTGGGTCAAGTATTCTTAGGAGTTTAAAAATGTTATTTAAATCTCATGGTTTCAGGATGTAGAGACTATCATTATTCTCATTTCCCAGATGAGGTCAATGAGACAGCCTAATTGCAGAGGTCACATGGGTAGTGACAAGTTTGACTTTTAATCATGGCATGAATTGCCTCTGAAAGAAGTCCAGGAAAATAAAAGGAGGATGGTGTCTGCCCTCCTGGAGCTTCCAGTCGGAAGATGCCTCCAATGTGAGCACATAAAGGAGTACTCAAGCCAGGCAGTACTTAAGCCAGGAGTACTCAGCCAGGCAGTACTTAAGCCAGGAGTACTCAGCCAGGCAGTACTTAAGCCAGGAGTACTCAGCCAGGCAGTACTTAAGCCAGGAGTTCTCAGCCAGGCTGTTCCCCTGCCTGTTCCCTGCAGGGAGGATGTGCCAGAGGAGTCAACGCCTACTGAGAATAAATAGGAATGGATGATACGGCTCCAGATGAGGATAGACAGAGAAGGGAATGCTGGACAGGAGCGTAGTAGGAACAAGAACCAAGAGGAGAGGCAGAGCACATGCCAGGAGAGAGGCAGTGGCTTGGGATGCTGGAAGACGCTCTGAAACCCACAGGCAGCAGGAAGTGGCACCAAGTCGCAACCGCCCCCATGAGCAGATGTATAACCAGCACTGTCAACAAGATTCCCAGACATTGCGTCACCTTTTAAATGGAGATCTAGAGGTTGCTATTTAAAGAAAGCCTTTCTGGAACGAATATTTACATCAAGAGAAATCCCAATTGACACTTTCTATGTTTCCTTGAAGCTGGTGGACACAGGTACCCCGTCTTTCGTCAGCAACACTTCCTTCCCAGGATGTGTGCTCTAAATCTGCTTGTGTGGATGTGTGTCCATCTGTCCTATTGCGATCGCTTCTCCTTCCTGTGGGGGAGTGCGTCACTCCAGGGCTGACACCACTTTCAAAGTCCAGCAGAGCCATCAACAGATGCATGATCTATCCGGATCACAGAAAAGCCCTTCTCTGCTTATCATCTGTCCAAACATGTCATAGGTTGGATTTAATCATCGTTCCTGGGCAAAACCCAAATATTGCCACTTAACGTCATTGGTATATTTTTAAACCCAGAGAGATACACCACATCATCTAACTGGAGAAAATCAAGCCTTATCCACGTTAGCTGGAAAGGTTAATCTGCATAACTAAAGGAAGCCAGGTGGTCGGCGGTGCCCATGTGCGTAGCAGTTATTTCACTCAACAATAACAAGTTGTATATAAATTGGTTTCCATGGTTTGTTCATCTCTGCAGGTGGCTGAAGAGACGGGTTTGTCTCTTTGCTTGTTAAGGAGCGAGCAATGTCACATTTACCCCCAACACATCGTAGAGAAGTGCTTCCTAAATATAAGGCTCTTTGTCTAAGAAGGAAGGTTTATTCTGACGGGTTGAGAGATCATAATGGCTTCAACTTTACTATTTTGCCTGCTCTCTTTTCAATTATCATTTGTTTTTTCTGCAAGAAACATTTCTCTCAAGTGCATGCAAGATACTGATGAATTCCTTTTTGATTTGAATTCAGTGAAGCCCAAAGAATACGCTCTGAGAAGTAAGTAGGCTTCCCTGGACCATTGGGGAGGTGGACGCAGGGCAGTCTGAGGTTTGTGCTAGAAGGATGGTAAACAAACTCGTAAGAATGAAAAACACAGGACCAAATAAAGAAGTGAGAGAGGCTTAGCTTACAAATGGCACCAGGAATCAAAGAGGGAGGAGACTTTATTGCAGAAAGCTCGGTTGCCTGTCTCATCAGAGAACTCTCAGGAGAACCAACTTCAAATGAGAAGAGAATTGCTTATAAACTGTGGTACTGATTACTATTATTGAAGTTGATAACATTTTACTGTCCCAAGGCATAGCTTGGTTTATTTCTTTTTCTAGATGTTTAGTCTGCTGTAGATAATGAGTTGCTTTGTTATTTAGGGAAAAAGTTCTTGTTCATTATGTATGCCCTTGATACTAGATTCTAATGAGTGTGTTGAAATATGCGCTGACCTTGGGCCAGAAGTGAATTTATAGCCCGGCCTCTTTGCATGTGATATGTATGGACTTCGAGCAGCTACAATTTGTGTTTTGGTTTTTCTTTTTTCTGTGTATGTTTCCCAAAGTTATTCTTGCAGCTAAAGGGTCAGGAAATTGGATTCATTTTTAGTGGGATAAAACTCTGTCCCAGGAGCAAGATTCCCTGTGGCTGATGAAAACCACTAACAAAGAAAAATGTAAAAACTCCCTCTTTCTAGAGCCAGATAAACCAACATAGCAATTTCCACTTCCATGGAGAATTCACAACTAGTTTATTTTGTATTGAAAACCACTTAGTAGCATAATATATATCATAAGGAAAAGCATTTTGATAGAATGTAGGGTAACTCAAAATCACACATGATTTGAAACAGTTGCTATTCTATAGTGTTCAGATGTCCTGGTATCCAATGAAATGGTGATAAAATATAAACCCAATTAAGTCCAGTAGCCATTCTTCAAGTCTCATTTTGGAATTGATCATGTTTTGCTACAACACTTGGTGATATTGATAGGGAACATTGTGACAAACACCGGCCAAATAAGCCAGCCAAGAGAACCCAGAAGGTGCGATGGCTGGCTCAGATTTCTGGTGACGAGGTGGTGGCACATATTGTCATCATTAGTCACAGTCACAAGTTACGCTCCTCATACACCAACCATGTTCCATCTGTGGGAGCCTGATATGTGAAAACTATTTTTTTTTTTAGTTAAAAAAATTGCCCAAGATAAGTGGTCGAGAGAATTGAATGACAAACATCAGTAGCCTAGGTGACTGTTAATTTATGCTAATAGATGAACACATCTATCTATAGTTGTTTTAACCGATTTTCATTCTAATGTACCAGAAAATACTTGGCATCGTCGCTCTGACATTTTGCCTGATATTTTTTGAGCACAGCGTGTGTTTCTGACCTTGGTTCTCAGCATGGTTTTCCTGACAGGCATGTGGAGGGAAGAGAACTAGTTAGTGAGCACTTGGACGGAGCAGACCCCCTTCTGCTCCCTGTGCAGTTGCCCCTTTTAGTCCCCAAAACCCCCCTTAAGGAGGGGGAGAGAATTATTAGCATTGACTTATAAATGAGGAAACCAAGCCACAGAGATGTCAACAATCTGACTTGAAGCAAGGGGTAGAGACAGGCCTTGAGCCCACATTATGACAGCCCACAGTCGTCAGATTCCGGAGCCCCCGATTCAGAGCCTACTTTCCATCCTTGCCTGAAATAACCAAAAACAAAAGATCCAGCAGCAAAAAGGGATGAGAGGTATATGTATCAGCCCACAGATACACAGAAATAACATCAAGAAGGAAGAAAACAAGTTGCAGAAGATTATATACAGTATATAAGTTTAAACTAATGCAAATGAAGGCTCTGTGTGGCTGGGTGTCCGTAGTATAAATGTTAAGGAAAACATGAGACCAACTTCCAAATTCAGTCCCGAGGCAGGTCTGGAGGGGTGGTAAGGGTGGAGATACATGGGGCGCATATGAGATTTCAAATGAGTAGTCAAGTTTTGTTTTAAGATAAATGATAAGAATATAGATGTCTGGGTTTTTTTATGCCTTTTAAATATTTTTAAAAATTTTCTAAACACAATATCTTTATTTTATTTATTTTTTTTATGTGGTGCTGAGGCTCAAACCCAGTGCCTCCCTCACACGTGCAAAGTACACGCTCTACCACTGAACCACAACCCCACCCACTAAATGTATTAAATATCGCATAATTACATTTAAAACATCATTCCCAGTGGTGCAGAGATGGTAACTGGTGTTGATTCTGGGTAACGAGTGGGTGCTGAGGAGTACGGTGGAAAAAAGGCCCGTGGACTACATGCAGGGATGTTTGGTCTTGCAGAGGGCAACTGGAGTCGTGGCTGCTCTAGAGCAGAAGACTGAAGTCTAGAGACTCAGTCTGAGCAGAGAGGATGGTCTCAGGGGTAGACAGAAGACTCATCCTACATCTCTAAAACGAGGCTGTGTGTCTTCCTTTCCACTACGCCTCCCATTTGCTTTTTAGCAGACACAGGTTTACCATCTTAAATGGGAAAGAAATGCCCCAAATACTCTTGTGTGCTCCATGGGATCTGGTGGTCTTATTTAATATCTGTTTACTGTTGAGCCCTTGAGAGAACGTTCTGGTCTCTTTAGTTCTCAGTTGTCTTCCTCTTTGACTTTGTTGTTTTAAACTCCATAATCCACAGAAATGTCTTATCACATATAGAAACTGCATCTTTGATAAAGTTGGTTCAAATGCCCCAAATCCAACTGGGCACCCTTGTATTTCCAGCTATTCTGGAGGCTGAGGCCAGAGTCTCACAAGCTCAAGAACCCTGGCGTCCTCCCTGCTGACCGACTTCTCAGTTGTCTTTCTCTCTGACCAGTGTAGTGTTAGCTGCCTCCTTTTTCTTGACCTTCACCTCTTTCCACGCCAGGGACTGTGCCCTCTGGGACGCCCTGCCTTGCTGACCGGCCTTCTTCCTCATTCCTTTTCTCTATCTGACCTCTAGAACTTTCCCAAGGTACTTGGTCCCTTTTCCCATTGTTTCTTGTAAATGAATCAAGCTTTAGTGACTGGAGGTGGCGCCCTCAAGTCCTATGAACTGTGCTAAGCTGTGACTGCACCCAAGTCCTGTCAGTTTGCTCCACGAGTTTCCTCACCTGTGAAATGGCTGGGCGGTGTGTCCCTCATTCTGGAAATCTATAGCAGCTTTTAAAAACTTTCAACTTCTAGGTCCAGCAGTATGCGACAGCCCATCTGGCTGGCTTGCCAGAGTCAACTGCTAAATGGTCAAGCTGGTTGTTGAACCGTTGTTTTTAAGGGTTAAATCATGTGAATTCACAATTAAGTTGTTCAGAACAAAAGTAAAAAGTGATCAATGTCCATCACTCTCTGGTTATTGGACTACATTTTATTATTATGTGTGTGTGTGAGTGGAGGGGGGAGCTGGGGATGGAACCCAGGGCCTCACTCATGCTGCGCAAGTGCTGTACCTCTGGGCCACATCCCCAGCCCTCTGTCATCAGTTCTTTTGAAGGTACTCACATTGCTTGTGTCTGAATGGTGGGAATTGCTGCTACACTGCTGCTCATGGCCTTCTGTCTCCACGGTCAGGACATCGTGTTGGGAGGTAGAATCAGTCATGGAGGAAGTATCTTCACCATAGAGGTCAGTAAGTGCTACAAGTTAGAGTTTACTTTCTTGTTTCATTGATTGTCTCCATTTAAGAAATTGATGGAGGCATGGTTAGGAAGGCAGATTGACTTAAAGATGTGTAGAGCATTGAGCCCTCCCATCAACATCACAGAAAGGTGAGGCAATATTCTTTAACACTCAGCCCATCATCTAATTCAGCACATCTCGGACACATGAGTGCATTTTTTTTTTAAATTTATTTTTTAGTTTTTGGCGGACACAACATCTTTATTTTATTTTATTTTTTTAATGTGGTGCTGAGGATCGAACTCAGCGCCCCGCGCATGCCAGGCGAGTGTGCTACTGCTTGAGCCACAACCCCAGCTCATGAGTGCAGTTTTGACACACAGCTTTCTTATTTCACGTTCATATGACTCACTAAGATGAACAGAAATACCAACCAATATTCATGTCAGGATAATCCTTTTTGGCCAACGAAAACCATAGATTGGCTGTGGATGCAAGAGTTTGGAGGGGGAAAAAAAGAGTCAGTCAAGGATTCTATGAAGATCAATTGGCTATATGTGGAATTATACTAAGAAATATTGTGGATTTCACTATTACTTGTCATTTGTGTTTGTTATGTGTTGTGTTCCCCCATATTCGTGTGTTGAGATCCTAACCTCAGGAAGTCAGCTCGTGACTGTATGTGGAGATTGGTGCTCAAAGAGATAATGAGACAACCATGAGACGACTAGAACGTCTCCATCCAACAACAGGTGCCCTTGTAGAAAGGAGGGATTAGGACAGACATGCTTAGAGGAGAGCCGGCTTGAGGACACAGCATGAAAGCAGCCATCTGGCATCCCCGAGAGAGGCCTTGGAAGAGACCAACTCTACCAACAGCCAGGTCTTGGACACAACAGGCTGCAGAACTGTGAGACAGTGAATTCTTATTTGTTAAAGCACCCAGTCTGAGTCATTTTGTTTTGGCAATGCTAGCAAACTAATACATGCCACACGTCCTTTATGTCAGTACAGTTTATAAAACCACCCACTTGGAGAGTGTTGAGGTCAGAATTTTGTCACCAAAAAGATATGGTGATGCCTTAACTCTCTGGTTCCTTGGAGAGAGGGGTCAAGATTTTGCAGGCAGTCAAGATGAGGTGATACTGGGTGAGGGTGGGCCCCCAACGCTTGGCCTCCTTAAAAAAGGACGGTTCAGACACAGACACCCACAGGGAGACGCCCTGCAGCGGTGGAGGCGTAGACGGGAGCGCTGCAGCTGGAAGCACAGGAACGCCAGGGAAGGCTGGCCACCCCGGGAGCCAGGAGAGAGCACAGGACAGACTCTCCCTCGGAGCCTCCAGACGGAGCCAAGCCTGCCAGCGTG